AGGTATATTCAGAAGAACACTTGGTGTTCTTCTGATATTTGATATTTGACAGTCTCACAGGTCTGTCAAATATTTGACTGACTCACAGGTCTGCATCTTAGTTCTACAGTAATTCCACAACACATGATCTGTATGTTCCTCAATATATATAGTTTCATCACCATATCTTGGGAATGTAGTTTCAACACCATATCATAGGAATTTAGTATGAGTCGCAACCAACCTCTCGATCTGCATTTCCGCTCAAAAGTCTCGGACTTTCCACGGTCAGCTCCATTTGCAATGATCATTTTAGACATGACTGCCAATTACATCGTGAATGATGTCGATCTCTCTGCCATAAGCAGCAAAAGATGATTGAGAGTTGCCACTCCAAAACCAGACGGCGTTAGATGGTGGAGACGTGAGCGTGAAAGGCTAAGTTACCTCAAAGCTCATTGATGTCTTCTCCTTCTTCTTCTTCTTCAGCAGCAGCAGCAGCGAAAGCAGCAGCATCATCGACTAGGTTTGTCTCGAAGGTGCCGGAATGCTTGATGTAGTTTATATAATTGCCTCGGTCATCTTTGATGGAAAAATTTGGAAAGTGTTTGATCATGGGCCAGTCTGCGCCATTTTGGAGGCATCTGCGGAGGAGTTGGGTGGTTCCCAATACGTCCAGCCTCTGGAGCGAAGTGAAGCATGCAGGGCAAGCCGCCAACCACTCTGGTAAATGATTGTTTGGAAGCAAAAACTCACCCAACTCCAATACCTCCAGTGCAGGGAGATCAGTAACAATCTCCAGATCTGATTCACCACTTATACTCAGTTCTTTTACAGAAGGGAAACCTCTGATGGACTTGAGAGCACACACATCCCTCAGATTCAATGTGGTTAAACAGGTTGCCTGTCGGATCAGGCCTTCCGGTAGGGACTTCAACGTGGGGCAATTTACGAGGTCCAATTTGTCGAGGCGACGCATAGCAAAGCCTTCCGCTACCCAATCCCACACTTCCATGTTAGTCATTTTCCTGAGTTCCAGCTGCCTTAGTTTCGGAAACAACGAAGGAGGAGGAGAAGAAGAAGGGCGCTTTGAATTCCGTTCACGATCATTTCCAGTAGCAGCAGCAGCTTCACACCCAAAAAATTCCGGTCCGATGGTTGTCACTGCACGTGCACCTCGTATGACAAGAAACTCCAAACTGGGGAGCTTTCCTAGCGGTGGAAGCAGTGGCCAGTCATAGCAGTCAATTAGTTCCAAGTGTCTTATGTTTGGAAGAAGCGAACTGATGCTTGCAGACGCCATCCAGCTTGGGTACCGGCGGCCGAACAAATTCTCTAAACTGAGCATAACAACAGATGATGGTGGATGAAGTGCCACATCCAACACCTTCTCGATTCTTTCAATCTCTTCCTCCGTGTGACCATCGTATGTGAATGAGCACCCTAAATATAGATTCTTCAGTTTTTGTTTACCCTTTAAGACGCTCGTATCTCTTCCCGGTTCAGCTTCCAGCCACGCCCTCTCCAACCTGTGAATGGAGAGGTATCTGAGCTCCTGGAGGCCGCATAATGCTTCCAATGGGCACATACCAATGCCCGTGTTCACGACGAATCCTTGGAGTTCATTGAGGTGCTTCAACCTTTTTATTCCATATGGAAAGCTCTCCAGCCGTGTACCTTTACAATCGAGTGCCCTTAGATTGACTAGTCTTACTATACCTTGGGGGATCTGTGTCAACCGTCTACATCCAAAAAGGATCAAAAACTGCAAATTCGTCAGATTGCATATGCTTTCTGGAAGCTCCGTTATATGGCTCTGAGACACCGTCAAGTATCTCAAGTGTATCAAATTTCCCATGTAGTGTGGTAGGCTCTGGATATTTCTGCCCATGAGATGGAGGACTCTAAGTCGCACAAAGTTCTTCAAGTAATCATCTATATCCTTCGCATAGCCATGTACTAACAATGCCCTCACCGACTCATGTTGCTTGATCAAACTGACGATATGCTGGATGTCCGTGGTTTCAGTGGCCACAATCGACAACCGACGCAGCTTCATCGGGGCGGCAGCACTTCTCCACTCATTTTGCACGTCACTAATGAACAAGCTCTCATCTTTCGATAGGAAATGGCCGAGCGATCGCAGCAGGTCATGCATCCTGGAATACTCACCGTAGTCCAGATCGTAAGGTTGCAATTGTAGAAGGCTCCTATGAAGCAGCTCTATGTAATATTGCTCCCCTGTTTCCTCCAAGCTGACATCTCCTCGTGCTTCGACAAACCCCTCGGCTATCCATAATCTGACGATTTCAGGACTCTCAAAATCAAAATCTTCTCGGAACAAGGCGCAGTAGAGAAAGCATTGCTTGAGATGGGACGGCAGGTCTTGGTAGCTCAGATACAGTGCTCCATGCACACCTTCGGGAAGCCCGGTCCGTGACCATGCGGCGCTGCGGAGAACTTCCTCCCACGCACTTCTGTTGAGTCCTCTGTCGCGGAGGACCCCTCCGATGGTCTTGATGGCCAGGGGAAGCCCTCCGCATTTCTCAACAATCTTCATGCCTGTGTCCTTGAGATCTTGGGCATCCCTTTCCTC